AAAAAAAGAAAGGAAAAAAAAGAAAAGAAAAGAAAGAAAGAAAAAAAAATAACCAACCAGACTAACTTAAAATTTTAGCTTAAAACCTTTATGGCCGGGGCACCTGGGTGGTTCAGTCTTTTAAGCATCTGCCTTCGCCTCAGGTCATGATCCCGGGCTCCCTGCTCGGCGGGGAAGCCTGCTTCTCCCTCTCCCACTCCCCTTGCTTGTGTTCCCTCCCTCCCTGTGTCTCTCTCTGTCAAATAAATAAATAAAATCTTTAAAACAAAAACAAAAACCTTTATGGGCTTGAATTTCACCTCAAAAATTAAGTACTTATGGGGCACCTGGGTGGCTCAGTGAAGATTAAGCGTCTCATTCTTTCTTGCTTTCTGCTAAGGTCATTATCTCCAAGTCCTGGGATCAGCCACATAGGGCTCTGCATTCAGCATGGAGTCTACTTGAGATTCTCTCTCCCTCTCCCCCTATTCTCCGCAGCCCCCCCAACTGCTCATATTCTCTAAAATAAATAAATCTTTTTTAAAGATTTTTTTTAATTTTCTATTTTAAATCTACAACTGACATGAGACAAAAAGCACCAAGTTTAGGGGCGCCTGGGTGGCTCAGTCGTTAAGCGTCTGCCTTCGGCTCAGGTCATGATCCCAGGGTGCTGGGGTCCTGGGATCCAGCCCTGCATCGGGCTCCCTACTCAGCAGGAAGCCTGCTTCTCCCACTCCCCCTGCTTGTGTTCCTGCTCCCGCTAGTTCTCTCAAATAAATAAATAAAATCTTAAAAAAAAAAAAAAGCACCAAGTTTAGTTACTGTTGTATTCAAACTGGTTCGACTATAAAATTATCATTTATGGTACACTGAGAGAATATGACAAGGCTGAAGGTAGGAAACCTATCACTTTTTTGAAACCTAAAAAGTTTTCCACTTCCTCCTCCTGTATCCTTAATCACTACTACCTCCTCCCCCAATCACTGTCAAAGATAAGGACTGGCGGAAAGACATTCTTCTGTGTTTAGTGCTGTCAGCAAAAGTATAAACTCAGAGCCTCCCTTGGACTTTCTGAAACTAACTCTGACCTAATAAACTGTCCTGTCAAATGGTGACCACCCTTCAAATCAGGTCATATTTTCAGATCCCAAAATGGTTTTGGAACTTAAGTGTAATTCTTAGTTGGTAACAATATACTATATAAGTTTAAACTTTAAGCTCCAGTGCCGATTAAAAAATCAGTACGTTGAACAAATTCTGGTTCCAGGAGGGTAATGTTTGTGTGGAATCCACTAAGTTCTGTTCTAATCGTTGTTCTAGTTTACGCAGGGTCTTTCAGGCACAAAATAGAATGGGGAAAGAAAGTTAGCTAGGTAGCTGCTGTGTGTACAGTACTTGCTACGCACGCGCGCACACAGGCGCGCGCGCTCTCTCTCTCTCTCTCTCTCTCTCTCTCTCTCTCTCTCGAACCAGGCAGCAGCTAATTCAAGTGGGAGATAAGCCTGCCTTGGGAAACAGCTAAGGAGAAAGAGTTGAGAAAGAGCAAGAAAATATTTCTAGCTTCCTAGGAACAGGAAATTACATCCCACAATGTAGGAAAAAAGCCATCACCTTTCTGAATGCAATGTTTTCAAATCTGCACAACAGGCCTCATGCAAGAAGGTTAAAGAGATGACCAGAGAGCACACTCATCCAGCAGTTAGCCCATACCTGTGGCTTTACACCTCCCTTTCTGGACTATGTCTTCACTCTAAAAAACCAAGGAAAGAAAAATAAGTGGGCCATGACTATACTTCTAATAATTCCAGATATGTAGCTTCTTTCCCTAAGAAAAGCCCCCTTTTGTCACCATGTCCGAGAATTAAAACAAAAAATAACAAAAAAAAACAAAAACCTCCTCCCTCTCCCATTTTTAAAGTACACAATACCTTAAAATATCAACTGCATTTAATATCTCAAAGTTAACTTAAAAACACCATCATTGTAAAAGATGGGGAAATAAAAATACTAAAAGACTTCACACAGCCTTGTCCCCAATGTCACAACAAATAGCAAAACAATGATTACAACTTATGAGGCTGAATTTCAGTACATTTAGGTCACCAAAAAAATCATTTTTAGCATCTGCTTTTGGATGAGAAACTACAATAGAGCTAAAGGCCTTATAATTCTTTTAGCAATCAAGGATCATGTTATTAATGTGAAAAGACCACGCTATTTCACCAAAGCAACCTTCCTGAATAGGTAGGTGCCAGGCATAAAACTCTTCAAAGACAACCAAGTTCCTGCCTGTGTAAATGCATCTCCAGTGGCCCTAGGGCAGTGGTGAACCACTGAAACAAACAAACAAAAAATCCAGAAGATGGGGAAGTTAATTGAAGCTAAAAGCAAACAGAGGAACCACAAAACCAATTTGTTTTATTTTTAAACATTATCGAACAATCTTGCAAGTAAAGATTGATTCTATAAAGCTGCCCAAATTCCTTCAAACTTTCTTCTATACCCCCTGCCAGATGGACTTCTGTTTGGCCCTGGCCTAAAGACAAAGAACTGCTGGAAGTCATCAAGGATGAAGTCTACTTTGGAAAATAAGAATTCTGAAAGACAAAGCCAGAACCAGAACTATGAGACACTGCACTCTACCTACCCTTCCTGAAGACAAAGATGTTTCTTGCTTGACACAAAATAGGTGCTTACGTACTTGACTTTTCATATGGATCTAATTGGTTTCCAATTTTGTTAATGAAGTAGTGATGCTTCCAATCATTTTAAGGCAAAACAAAATAATTTCTAAAAGGATTTACTTGCAGCTGCCTACATCACCAAAAGTTATTAAGAGGAAAGGAACTTATATTTACTAAGTTCACAATACCTCACTTAAACCTGTATCAACAACATTTAAAGTGGGGACTACTCTAAGGAATTAGATGTTAAAATAATCTGTATAAGGGATTCTAACCCCAGAGCCCATGGTCGGTCTCTCTTGAGACATGTGACCATGACCTAGGAGGTACAAACTTTTACTGAGACAGTGTGTTGAGAGGGCTCTGGAATAGTGGCTACACCTTGGAGGGTAGAGAGCAAGTTAAATTTCTGTTCATTTTATTCTGGAAGATGTAAAGGACAAAGAAAAGACCAGAGAGTCATGTTTCCCAAAATGTCATATGAAACGTGCATGGAACAGTTGAGAAACACTGCTGTTGTGTGAAGCTCTGAGACCAGACTGCATGCTAGCTGTGAGCATGGGAGCAAAAGAGAGGCCTGGGATTAAGAAGGGCCAATGTACAGAAGAGTGAAGGACACATATCTAGGTCCCAGAGAACACAGCAGCCCTAAAGGGGCTAAGGAAGACCCTAATTGCCTAGCCAAGAGAAAGAGAAAAATGAAATTCTTTAAAAAAAAAAAAAAACCAAACACATAAGTAGGATATTAATCACCCTACTCCTAAGTCACCAAAGACTTTTTTTTTTAAAGATTTTATTTATTTATTTGACAGAGAGAGACAGTGAGAGCAGGAACACAAGCAGGGGGAGTGGGAGAGGGAGAAGCAGGCTTCCCTTGGAGCAGGGAGCCCGATGCGGGACTCGATCCCAGGACCCCGGGATCATGACCTGAGCCGAAGGCAGACGCTTAACGACTGAGCCACCCAGGCGCCCGTCACCAAAGACTTTTTAAAGGAAAATTCAGACACACACAAAAAAGGATTAGCACTGTCTTCCACACAGACCCTTGTCACTTGAAGGACAGTGGGAAGCTTAATACACAAGAAGGTATTTTCCTTAAAAGCTTTGCCTTCCCACTTTTGCTTTTCCTACTGTTGCCTAGTCTGTAAGAAAACATGCTTTGGGGAGAGAGGAAAACTGAATGGAAACTAAAAGCTTTAGGTTTGCTTTTCACATCTTTCATTTCTGTGGGGAACCAAACAAAATGCATGCACTCTCTGAGGAAACCTGGACCACATTTGTCTTGTACTTCCTTGGAGCTCCACAGAAGTCTGTTTCTGTTAACATTATCTCTACCTTTCTCAGTCAGCATAAGGGGAGGTATAAAGGCAGTTCCAAAGAGAGGTGAAAAAATTTAAGGGGGAGGGATGCCCGGGTGTTTCAGTTAAGCATCTGCCTTCAGCTCAGGTCATAATCCCAAGGTCCTGGGATGGAGTCCCACCTTGGGTTCCTTGCTCAGCAGGGAGCCTGCTTCTCCCTCTGCCTGTCACTCCCCCTGCTTGTGCACTCACACGCTCTCTCTCAAGAAAGAGAGAGTTAAGGGGGAAAAGGTATACCGAAAGTGGGGCTGGGGGGCTGCACAAGACAAGAGAAGGATGAGGGCAAGCTAACGCTGACAAAAACAGGCAGTATAAATCTACTTGTGACACATTAACATGTTCAAAATAGGACCTCCTGGGCGCCTGGGTGACTCAGATGGGTAAGCGTCTGCCTTCGGCTCAGGTCATGATCCCAGGGTCCTGGGATCGAGTCCCGCATCAGGCTCCCTGCTCCTTGGGAGCCTGCTTCTCCCTCTGCCTCTCTCTCTCTCTGTCTCTCATGAATAAATAAATAAAAAGTTTAAAAAAAAAACAAAAACAAAATAGGACCTCCTATCGAGTTTGAAAATTGTACTTAGCAAGTCAGTGGTACAGGGTACTCTAAAAGGCAAACTACCTATCACACAATTTCCCCCAAGGAAAGATAAATAATCAGGAAAGAATTTATATTTGGTTTTGGAATATATCTTGGACTTTATATGATCTTGACATGCTTCAAAGATGCAACAGCTGAGGCACCTGGCAGGCCCAGTCAGTAGACCATGCGACTCTTGATTTCAGGGTTGTGAGTTTGAGCCTCCACACTGGGTGTAGAAATTACTTAAAAAAAAAAAAAAAAAAAAAAAAAGATGCAAGAGCAAATGAACGGCATTACCTCTCTGATACAAAAGCACTCACATCTCCTATACACTTTCCTTAGAATAGGCAAGGTAATGAACCTTTTTTTATTTCTCAGAGTTTTCTGTTGGCCTACAGAGCCTGTATGTTGAGTGAATGACAAAACACTATCCTTCCCAGAAAGATGACCACTGACTCACTCACCATCAGCAACTCTTACAAAGTATGCACTGAATCACAAACTCTAGATACAGGGGTTGGTCGCAGGCACAGTAATGCTCAATGACCTACATTAAGGCCTGAACTCATGACCTTGGCCTCATTAGTCCGACTCACCAATTCTTACTAACAATTGTTAGTAAATGCCCTCAACACTTTGAAAAACTTTTTTCATATAAGGCAGGAAGCTAATGAAGAACTCAACAGATATCCAGATCAGAGACTTTAAAAAAAAATTTAAGATTTTATTTATTTATTTGACAGAGAGAGACACAGCGAGAGGGGACACAAGCAGGGGGAGTGGCAGAGGGAGAAGCAGGCTTCCCGCTGAGCAAGGAGCCCGATGCGGGGCTCGATCCCAGGACTCTGGGATCATGACCTGAGCCGAAGGCAGACGCTTAATGACTGAGCAACCCAGGCACCCAGAGACTTTCAAAATTTTTTAGTTTTGTTTTTTTTTAAAGATTTTTATTTATTTATTTGAGAGAGAGAGAGAATGAGAGATAGAAAGCACGAGAGGGAAGAGGGTCAGAGGGAGAAGCAGACTCCCTGCTGAGCAGGAAGCCCGATGTGGGACTCGATCCCGGGACTCCAGGATCATGACCTGAGCTGAAGGCAGTCGCTTAACCAACTGAGCCACTCAGGTGCCCTCAAAATGTTTTTAAAGACAGAAGTGTTTCTCCCCTAAACATAAAAGTGAAGCTGATGTTCAGGTTGAAGACAGAAAAGGGCAAGGCAGGCCCCACCTTTTGCCTTTCCTGCACTCAGGGTAACCCCAGGTCTCCTGGGAGAAATGAAAATAGACCTGGAAAATTCAAAACAGTGCTCGCTTCAGCAGCACATATACTAAAATTGGAATAATTCAAAACAACAGATAATTCACCAATTTTATATCCAGCTTTGAGATGAGTAAGTTTTTTGAACAGATTTTTCTATATTTAGAATCTAATAGGTTACCAAAAATCAAGGAATTTCCAATGCCATTAATGGTAATAAATGTGTGCCTGCTTGAGTTGACAGAATATAGTATTTAAAATTTATAAACCTTGGAGTGCCTGACTGGCTCAGTTGGTAGAGCATGCAACCCTTGATCTCCGGGTCATGAGATGAAGCTCCACTATTGGCGCAGAGCTTACTTTAAAAAACAAAACTGTAAACCTTATCACCTGGAAGTAGGGAGATATGTCCAAACATTTACAAAGTAGCAATAATTTTAAGAGCTCACATTTTCGGAACACTTACTCTATGCCATGTGGTGTTTTGGGTGCTTTACATTTAATCCTCATACCTGACCTATCTCCATTTACAATTGAGAGAAGACACAAATGAAGTAACTCTCAAGATCACATGAATCCAGACAATGAAGAAGCTGGAATATATAGTCAGGCAGTTCGACTCTTGGGTGAAAAGGTGACTCAGATTAAAGAAGATCATGCACACAAACCACAGAAAAGACTGTTTAAATATGGAGGACCATAAAGTTGACTCTGACCATTTTTCTAAGGCAAATCTAAGTAGGTAAATACCCAAAGTTTTAACCGTCACAAGAGAAATATGGTTAAGGTAGTGAAAACCTCCTGCCATTAATGAGTAGATGTGTGACCTGAGCAAGTTCATCAATATCTCCAAGTGTCAGCTTCCTCATCTGTAAA